AAGGGTTAGTGGTAAAATAAAAAAAGATAAATAGGTTAAAAAGGGTAAATGGGTAAACAGGTATTAAACGATTACAGTTAAATGGGTATGCGGTTATGGGTATGGTTAACCATTTATAAACGATTATGGGTATGAGTATAATCATTTAAGCAATTATCTAACAGGTAAACGGTTATGCGGGTATGAGCATAAATGGTTATGGGTAAATAACCACGGTTACCCTCCCGCCATAACTGTTACCTATCCCTAGTGTTAGATCCCACATCGCATAAGGGAGTAGATCTTCTATGCCTTATATGTACAAGCCCACCTCCATATAGCACGAGACCTTTTGGGAGCTCACTAGCTTTGGGTTCCATTGGAACTCTGAAGTTAAACGAGTTTCGGCGAGAGCATTCCCAAAATGGGTGACCCACTAGGAAGTTCTCGCGTGAGTTCCTAGAAACAAAACCGTGAGGGCGTGGTCGAGCCTGGGATCGTGTTACGGCGGAGTCGAGCTTGGGATGTGGTAGAGCTCGGGTCGGGATGTGACAATTTGTTATCAGAGCCAATCTCTGGTGGGAAGTGTGCTGACAAGGAGGTGAATTGTTAGATCCCACATCGGCCAGGGGAGTGGATCCTCTATGCCTTATATGTACATGCCCACCTCTATATAGCACGAGGCCTTTTGGGAGCTCACTAGCTTCAGGTTCTGTCAGAACTCCGAAATTAAGTGAGTTCGGGCGAGAGCATTCCCAGGATGGGTGACCCACTAGGAAGTTCTCGCGTGAGTTCCCAGAAACAAAACCATGAATGCGTGGTTGGGGCCTAAAGCTGACAATATCGTGCTACGGCAGAGTCGAGCCCAGGATGTGGTGGAGCCCGGGTCGGTATGTAACACCTAATGCCAACTGCCAAGCTTACCACTTAGAGAAAAAATTGTTTATATTATAATGGACTTAGTTTTTTTTTTTTTTTTTTTTTTTTTGAGAAATTGATTATAGATTTTGATAACAAAAAAATGTTGTAGTTCTTACAAAATCCATAATGAAGTATGTCTAGTTACTTATTTGTAACATTTTGTTATTTTTAGTGTTTAGGCTTCTATCAATTTGGGGTTTTTTGTCAATTAGGGGTTTTAGAATTTTAGGGATCGGGTTTATATAACCAATTTAGAGTTTAGTGTTCATATTAGTAAATAATTTGTGTATTCAATTTCTTTTAAATTTTTTGGGGCTAAATAGTCATTTTATGTTACGATACATGAGTGATTTAATAGTACATATATATGTGGGGTGTATTCAATAATATGTGGAGTGTTAATAAAAAAAAACCCAAAATAAATACATTAATTAATATTTAACATTTCTCATACAATACATGTTTTTGGACATCTCTCTTCATTACTTTTCTTGGACATCTCTTGCACTCACTTGATCCCCCTCACCTACTCCAAAAAGGTCAACAAATTACGACACGTGGCAGCTGATCCCTTCTCCTCCTAATTGTCATGCGTCCAGCTTGGATGCCACGTGCGCTTCTCAAAGCACTGCGTTTGCTTGCATTCGACTCATGGCTGGTTTGGTATTGCTGTGCTTTGAAAAAAAAAAAAAAACTGCTTCTGCTGTGCTATGAGAATAAATAGTTGTGAAATAAAGCAATAGAGTGTTTTAAGTCTTCCCCTTTATTTTCTCCATCTGCATCGAGAAGTCTCCCCCACAACCCCAATTTTCTCAATTTTTATTTTTTTTGCTCCGTCTTCTTCTTTTTTATTTTTTGCTCTGTTCCTCAATCTCTTTCACTTGTCATTTGATTTGCAATACATACATGGTCTAGCTGCTTGAGGAGTTCATTATATACATCAGGCAGGGCCAACGCTCTAGTTTCTTTCTTCTTCCAGGACTAATCATTTTTTCTTTTTGAAATTGTATAGTGTAAATTTGATCATACGAAGTAGTTTCCTGTATTTAATTTTGGGTATTTGGAATAATTGAGTTTTGGTGTCGTCTGGGCAATTTGGGCTATCCTAATTTGCAAAAATGCTAAGATCAGTCACCTGTAAACGGTGCAATCTGGGAAATCTGGGCAAATCTACGATGCCAAAACCGAATCTGGTCCTCGTTGGAAAGTATTGTGGTATTTGTCGATGTGATTTTGTCGGCATGGGAATGAGAGAGGACAGACAAGAGATAGGGGGAAAGACAGAGGCAGAAACAACGTCCTAGGGTATGGAAACCAAGGTCAATAATAGTGATTGTTGAAGTTGGGAGTGAACGACGTTGTGGCGGGATCAATGGGGACGACATCCCAATTGAAGTCGACGATGTTTTCCAATTGGTATTATGTGTAATTATTTAATTGTTTAAGGTCATTTTGGGTGTTTGAAGGTTTCATTAAAATGCTCAGTGCCTTTTGCAAATAAAGTTTGTGCAGAAGCTATGGAAGCAAAAAAAAGCCGGTTTTTCAAAGTTAGCTTTTGCTGTTTTGAACTTTCAGCTTGTTTTCACCCAAAATTGTGAAAAAAAGTTGAAATTGAATGTTTACCATACAAAAAAGCTCCTAGCTGTTTTTTATACCCGCTTTTTTAAAAAACACCTCAGTATCAAATTAGTACTTAAATCAATTTCTCCTCTAAAAGGGTCAAGTCCACGTGGGAAAAAGTTGGTCGCAAGTTGATTGTTGATTAACACTACTACAAAATTACCTACAATTGGCAGTCCAAAAACCGACAAGAAAACATAATTTATGTCGGATATTTGGTAAAAATCCGACATAAAGCAATGTCAAATAACATAACCGACATCATTACTAGCGTCACGAAAAGGCTTTTGATGTTTGTTAGTCCCCTTAATCCGCCACAAAGAAGGAAAGCAATATAAAATTAAAAAATAAAAATAAAAACATCGGTTAAAAGTGACATCAAAGCTTACATCGATACAAGCAACATTAAGTACTAACAAACTAGTGTCGGTTAACCGACACCACCTAATAATTGGAGAAATAAAATAACCACTATAAAGCGACACCACCTAATAATTGGTTTTTTTTCTCTCTTTATAGAACTCGTTTTTCTTTTTTATCGTCTTCTTCACCTTCTTTCTTTTTTTCTCTTTACATAACTACTTCTTTCCTTTTTTTTAATATACGATCTTTTTCGTATTTTCCAAACACCCTTATAACCCATGAATTAAATTTTTCGAACAGCCACGCAATTGATTGCAGGGAGGAAGAAAAAATTGTCTGATTTCGTGTTTGATGTGAAACCATGAAACCAAGGGAGGGAGGAAGAGGACAAAAATAGTTTGGATCGATCGCTGCTTGAGCCGTCTCGCGAAGATTGGAACTCGAAGGCTCGAGGAGCAGCCCCTAAAAGGGAAGCCGTGGAGATGGCGTGCTCGTCACTGTAGTGTTGAAAGAGAAGGGAGAGAGGCAAACGTTTTGATGCAAAATACGGTTGTTGTTAATGCGATTGTTGTTGTTGTTGCTGCTAGAATTGCAACTGTTGAAACATAGGTGTCTGTTGTTGCTGTTGCTACGATGGTTGTTGGGAGAAAGAGCTACTTTGTTGAAAGGGTTGTGAGGGATGTTGAATTTGAAACGACGATTGCTACTGCTGCTGTTGTGGCTACGAAGGAGCAAAGAAGGAGCTGCTTTGCGGAAGGGGTTGTGTTATCTTCCTTTTTATTTAGAATTTCATGTGGGAGTCTACTCGAGTGGTGTGAAAATTTCAAAATTCAAAATGTTTGAAATTTTGCAAAAGTTTAGTGAACAAAATGACATCGGGTTTTAAAATATTGAAAAAACAAAATTGTTAATGTCGGTTAGAAGCGACACGATCCTTTTTTAAATCAACACTAACTTTATATCGGTTGAAAGCGACACAGTTTTCCTTTTATATGACACCATCATTTAAAAAGATTAAAAACTATGTCGGTTATAAGCGACATTAACAGTCTATGTCAGTTATAAGCGACACAGACAGTTTTTGCTGGTTATAGTTGACATTAATTTCGAAACCATGTAAAGAGGGTGTCGGAAATGTCTTATCTGCCAGTATATTATATAAAACCGACACAAACCACCGACACAATAAGCTGCTTCTGTAGTAGTGTAAGTTGGGATGCGCTGATCGGAATTTTTATCACGTCGTCGGCGCACCGGCTCTTACTAGCTTTTCAGCCTTTCCTCTGCCATTGTTTTTGGCTGGTTTTTCTTGTGTCTCAGGTCCCCCTTGATGGCAGTCAGGTAATTTCCAATCACGGAAACCTTTAAATTGGTTGTTTAAATTCGAAGAATATTCGGATCAGACGTACGTTTGATGTCATCAAGTCGATTTGATTAACGGAAGAATCTGTTATGCAACGCCTTGTAAATTTTGTCTTTAAAAAAAAAAAAAAGTACCACCTTGCAAACGTGGCTCATATTAAGTGGGTGGGAGGGTCACACATTTGATGTCATGACTTACAGATAGTCGGGCATGTGTTCAGACTTATTATGTCTCGGTCATCTCACCGAAGGTGGGCTAATTTTTCATCATTAATTTAATTCAAATTTTGAGATTTTTTCTTTTCTTTTGAACAAATAATATTATCTATGTTGCTAGCATATTGTGAGATTAAATGCACCTTCTTCCTCTTAATGTTTATAATATCGATTGTTCCAAAAAAAGAAAAAGATTATCCATGTTAAGGAGGTGGGAGAGTGAACTAAATGTCATAATGGGTGAATAATAATGTGGTTTAAATTTGTGTTTGGTGACCTCTCATTTACAATTGAAGAAGAATATCATTAAATCGTAATACTAAGTGACAATTTAATTTTAAAATTTGTGTCTATTTACTGTACCAATCTCAAAGTTTAAATTTATTTTCTAGTAATAAATAGGCCAAATCAGATAAATGGTTCATGTGATCATAAGGTATTCGGAATATGACTGTGTGATAAAAAAATTTAGATTTAAACTCTTATGATGTAGTCCATTTGCAATTTTAGTCTAAAAGTAATTTTTCGTTTGATGTTTGTTAAATGCAAGATAAAATTGTAATTTGACCTATGCTGACCAGACGACCCAAGCAACCCAAAAATTACATGTCGTTTCTCCGCCAAACCCTTGATCACTGTAGTTCGACGACAGCTTTCCCTCATCCAATTCCTGGTCGCAGCCACCCATCGCAATAGCAATATGAGGTGCTTTGGGAATCCAGAATGATGTGGTGGAGATCGGCAGGAGCTTAAGGACTCCAAGTTCGCTTCGAGATTGCTGGAGCTTCAGAAGAAGCTTAAGAAGAAGGTGAAGATGCTGATGATGGCGGCGGTCACGTGCCGGGGTTCATGGACAAGGTTTTCCTGTTTTGTCACTGAGATTTCGGTGATGCCGAAGCAGGACCAACTTTCCTATGACGCTCCATCATGGTAAAGTTGCTGAATTTCATTTCAAATTGAATGCAATGTTAGTTTTGCTTATTTTCTTTGTGTCTGTTGGTTTAATTTTCTAATGTAGTAAAAGATCAAGTTTCTTGGGAGGAAACTTTGAGTTCATTTCGAAGAAATCAAAATTTACCCAAAAGCTGTTACGATGATTTTCGCTCGGTTCGATTTCGTGTTCTAATTTTGTAATGGTAGATACCATAGTTGGTATCAGAGACCTCTGAATCTGTTTGTGCTTGTAATACAACGATTGACAACATAATTTGAAACAAACTGAGCTGGATATTCGTGCTGGCAATTTTGTGTTTATTGAATTCGAGCTAAATTTATTGCAGATTTCAGACCTGGTTTTGTGTAAATACAAACCAAAGAGAGAGAGAGCTCATCCCCCTTTTCCTTTGATCCAGATGCTCTTTTTGGTTCCTTTTTTGGTGGTGGCGGCCTTCCGATGGAGGGGCGTTAGATTTGGTGGTGGCTGCTGGTTTTCTCATTAGTTTTAGGATTTCTGTTGTCTTTTCGTTATGCTTTTTGGGCTTTGTGTTGTATTTACTTTTTCTTAATGGGCTTGTATTTAGGTTGTGGGATGCTTTTGGGCTATTTTTTTCTTGCATTAGTCTTTTTGTTTATTGGAAACGTAACTTAGTTTGTCCCCAAAAAGAAAAAGAGCAAACAGATGAGGAAGAAGAATCAAATTACAATTTTACCCATATATTAATGGAAATTTAAAAGAAAAATCATTTTTTTAATTAAATGTGCAATTGGATTACACCACAAAGGCTAAAATTTAATGTTTTTTTTACTACATAAGCTATCTTCCAAATACTTTAATCTCGCAAAAACCATTTATCCGACTTCACCTAATAAATAACATAATGAGCATTATCTTCAATGTGCAAACGGATTAAACTATAAGACAAATCCGAATTTTTTGACCAATTGATCCACGCAGCTTTTATTCAAGTTAATTGGTAGGAAGACGACAGTGTTTCCCGCCAAATAAAAGAGTGGTGGTCGGGTGCGGGGTTCACATACTAAATCAGGGGGAATGAAGCTTGGTCCCACCATTTCCTTTCTCTCAAATGGCTAGGGCTGGGTTTGGTTGGCAAACCATGCCACATTCCTTATGCCACCTGTCAGCCACATGTACATAATTACCGAAAATCAGTTACCACTAGCCAATTGTTTTCTTGCGGTTGCCAAAAATCGGTTCAGCCAAAATTATTGGCTGGTTGGGTTGGTAAATGGCACAACCGATGGTTTGCAAATAAGCTACAAAAACAACAGCTCAAGACCATGTACCGACCTATAAACAACAAACCAGAAAAGAGAAAAAGAAGTTGTTGTTGTAATTTTTCAATTGATGATAAGCCAACATAATCATGACTTGATAAATTAAAATGGAAATCAAATTGAAACTTAATAAGCCAACAACAATGTCAGCAAACATAATCCAAATAATTATAAGTTCACAAACTCAAAAGTCTAACTAATATAATTGTCTAAATTCAATTGTAGCAATAATGCATAAACAAAAACTCAAAACTCAAAAGTATGGCTCTAGTTATAAGATCCCCTTATTATAATCCCAAAACAAATAACTTGTTGTTTTGATAATGCAACATCACTGAAGTAGCAGCAACCAATGCATGTGAAATCTTCCATGAATCAATTCTTCGAAGCACTTGGAATTGATGTTCCTGCTTGAGATGTAGAACCATCAACTATTTCAATTCAAATGTTACATAAAAAATGTATGATTAGAATAAGAAGTATATTGAATAATAGATTAAAAACATCAATAAACATTGGATTGAAGTACTATAATTAGAATTAGAAAAAATAAAGCAATACTTACATTTTTCCAGTTCTTCACATGTCTTGTATAATTCAAGCTCTTCCTCTGTTGGCTCTTTATAGAAGTTGAATCCACCTGCCCTAATACTTCTCAAATTTATTCTTCATCGAATAAACCACCTTTTGCAATGTAGGATCTCTAGTATCCTTCATTTTTTTTTGTCAATCTCAACTTGAATTGAACTTATTTCTAAGAATTGCAAATCAGAAGTTGTAGGCTTGGTGGCACTGAATTTTAATGTTGTTTCATAAAACTTCTTCAGAAAATGAGGGAATGAACGTACATCCTCCCAGTTATCATCACTTGGAGGCCCCACCCTTTTTGTCTTTTCGTCCCTCACCTTTTCTTCGAAATAAGCAACAAATGGAGCATTTTCATCTGCCATTCTCTTAAACACATTTCGACACTTGTAAGCACAATCAAGCATCTTATAGGTGGAATTCCACCTTATAGCTACATCCAAGGGAATGGTTGCCATCTTATCTAACCTCTCTAAGATAGCAAAGTCCCTAAACTTGTCCAACCCGGCTGCACTTGAGTGAATATATTTCACGCAATTCCTTATCCCTTTCAATGAGCTAGCAAGATCTTTTATTCCATCCTTAACAATCAAATTAAGAATGTGGCAGACACACCTCATGTGCAAGTATTTCCCTTCCAACAATAAGGTCTTTAAGGACCTTAATCTTTTCTTCATGTGTTCAATTGCCACATCATTAGATGTAGCATTGTCCACCACAATGCTAACACCTTCTCAATACCCCAATCATTCAAACATTCATCCAGATGCCTCCCAATGTCATCACCCTTATGACTTGTGATTTTTTTGAATGCTATGATCCTTTTATGTAGTTTCCAATCATTGTCCAAGAAGTGGGCAGTGACAACCATGTAGTTTATGTTTTGGATCGAGGTCCAAGTATCAGTTGTGATACTTATTCTTTGATCCTCAATCACACTCTTGATCTTAGCTTTCTCAGTTAAGAACAACTCCCACACACCAGTAGCAACCTTTTTCCTATTAGGCACCTTGAAATTAGGTTGAAGCTCAAAGCTATACTTCAAAAACCCTTCCCCCTCAACTGCCCTGAATGGCATCTCTAATCATAAATTCATTGAGAACATCTTCACAACTTTTCTGATTAAATAAGCGGTAACCCAAAGTCCCACCAACCATTGCCTCATTTGTCAATATAGATTGACCTTTCTCAGCACCTTTCATATAATACAGTGAATTCTTACATTGCTGTCTAAGGTGGTTCCTACAAGACGAGGTACCATTTTTATTTGGATGTGCAAGAACATCGGCTTTGCAAATGTTGCAAATGGCAATGAACTTAGCTTTCCCATCAACGACCTTTCTACTTCTAACCATGTGATCCCAGACAAATGAACGACCGAGTTTGGGTCTCTTGTTATTCATATGTTCCACTTCTTCCTCGCTATCTTCCAGTTCCAAGGGCTTAATTTGATTTTCAGAATGGGGTGCTTGTTTGGTTGCATTGTGTGGTTCATTTTGGGTTAATCCATGTTGTGCACTAGCGGGTGATTGGCTAGACTCCATCATCCTAAACATAAGCAATGCATATACATTCAAAATCATATATATGTACGTGTATATATAGTATCAGTAATCATCATCCTATCAATTTTGTTAACAATATTTTCTATATTTATTATGGCATGAATCATATACATATACATATATGTTATATTGTGTAAACGTAAAAGCTTTTTACTAAAATCTCAAATTTCACAAATCAAGAATATATCTTTATTGTGCCTTTCTACAGTTTTGCTTAAAAAGATATAATATAGTTCAACTTTTCTACATGATCGGTCGATCGGTATTAGGCCTTATGATATATGCTTACTTCTTCTAACTCCAAATAAGGGGATACAACTAAAAAAATTCATTTAAAAATAATACTGGAAAGCTACAGTACTATGAATACGTAAGATATGCATAAAGCATCGCAATACAATAAATCCCCAAGAGAAGGGTTTCACAAATATTTACCTAAATTTGAAAGCTAATGAAGAAGAAGAAGAAGATTTCTGGCAGAGATAGCAGTTGGCTGGGTGTGCGTTTAAGAGAAGAAGAAAATTGAGAGAAGGCTGCTAGAAGTCATGCATATATTTTTTAAACCCTAAAACTAAGGAGTCAAGCATGTAAAAAATACCTAAAATATCTAAATAGGAATATATATATATATATATATATATATATATATAGGTAGGTATGGCATACCGCTGGCATACAAAATCAATTACCAAATCCATGCCATTAATTGTTGGTTTGGTAAAATGCCAACCGATTATGAAAAAATGTCAAAACTATACCATACCATTATGAGCCAACTGGTATGGTTCAATCGGTAAATTTGTTTATGGCAAAATTTCCCACCCCTACAAATGGCCATGCTCGAAGGAGGATGGCAGGGAGTGCTGACACATTGCTCGCTGCTTGATGCGGCATCGTTTCATCAACGAATTTGAAGAAATATCTTCTGCTTTTAATGATTTATTTAAATTTCTAATAGCGGGAATTCCCGCTAATTTCTCCTGGATCCTTTTTGGCCGCTAGGACTAGGGTTCGTTTTGGCAAAATTGCCGTACCTAAATTCTCTTACCAATTATTATACTAACTTTTTGATATTGTAAAATCGATTACTATTATCGTACCAAATTTTCAGAATTACTGTTTTTCGGTATGCTAAATACTTCGGTTGATATAGTATGGTAATGGTAATTACCATTTTATTTTGGACCATTTTTTGGGCCAAAAATTGATTTTTTTTTATCAGCCCAATTCAAGGCCCACTTTTTCAATTTTTTTTTCATCAACTCTGTAACTAATTCATACATTTCAGTTGATTTAATCATACTTGAAGCCAATAGGTTGCAAGCACAAGCAGTAAAAAACTGCAGGCAAGAAGCACAAAGTAAAAAGCACGCAGCAGCAAATCCCAATAAATTTCATGTAATTGACACTCATTAAACATATATTTTACACACACACACACACACACTTCATGTACTAAACACTAAAATATATGTAATAATATATATTTATATTTTTTGGTACGGTGTGGACACTCATTAAACATATATTTTATACACACACACACACACTTCATGTACTAAACACTAAAATATATGTAATAATATATATTTATATTTTTTGGTTATGGTAATACCGGTAATAATATTGAATATCAATATTGTACCAAAAAACTTTGGTTCGGTACATTATCGTGCCATTACCAATTGGCACAAAAAGTTTGTCACAAAATTGGTATGATATGGTTGACAATTCGATTAACACGGTAATTTGGCAAAAAAATCCATTCCTGATTAGGATTGAGGATGGTGGCCAGATTGATCCTCCGTGCATGTCCGATTAATTTTTCTTTTTATATGATGGTTTTTTTTAAGCTTTTTTTATTAACACCCCACATAATGTTGAATATGCCCCACATTAGAATTTAATATTAAATAATTTATATACTTTATTATGCAATGACAATTTCAACCTTATAAGGTTTAAAAAAATTTAAAAAATTAAAAAAATACTAAATACACCCCAAATAACTTTTAACATGTATATCACAAGATTATTTATCTTCTTCAACTCTCTAAACCACTCTCACTCTCCATTGTAGAACAAAGACTTAACCGATGAAACTACAAACACATTGATTGAAAAAAATTATTTTTGACGAACGGAACATGAAATTGA